GGGGGGGGGGGGAAGGGCCCCTAAGTAAAGAAGGGATTGAGAAGAAAATGACAAAAAAGACATGCATAAAATTAACAGACAATTTTGCAAGAGAAAAAACCTGAATGGGCCAAGAAGAAAAAACGAATTTATTTGGAACATTCTTGGGAAAGTGGGGCAGAAAAAGAGGAACTGGGTTCCTGGCTCCCTATGAGTTTCCCAGCCTTCACATGCCATTTTTTATTATTACTTGTCTTTGACTTTTAAAGCTATACACACTTGGCTGCTTTATACCAGAAATGGGGACTATATTTTGGAACTACGTCTGAAATAATAATTCTTATAATTTATGGTTTGTCCATATACAGTGAAACTGTATAATTGCAGCAGATAGTGAGAACAGAACGAGCCAACTTTTGACTTTGGTGGACAGAACATTCCTACAAATATTGCAACAGTCGCTGAAATTTCAACAGAAGGATTTACTGTGACATAGCAAACACAAAGGCTGAGGAAAATGAACTTTGGAGGAGATACTGTAGATGAAAAAACAAAAGAGGAAGCACTGTATTGTATTACAATGTCATCTGCAAGGTATAAAACACTAAATTATAATTGCACTGTGGTATAGTTTATTCCAGCAGATATATAGCAAATCAAATTCACTAAAGAGAAGCAGATTAAAAGGGCAACAGAATACCCTTTTGTGGGCTAACAGATCAGCTGGAACGATGCACACCTTTTAGGACCTCTCTTTTGTTGTTGAAACTTAGTGCCAGAAACGTCAGTTGAAATTTTTAAAGAAGTGAAAGTTTTCTCTTTTTTTGTACACTTTTCTAGTACAATCTATATTGATGCTATATGGAAAGATTTTCGTAACAGAAGCACATAGGCACAACAGATTTCAGATTTTATTGTCTCAATACTAAGCAGAAATAATTGTAATAATGTACACCATCTCAGCAAAATATATCTAAACTGATTTTTCTGGATGCAGCTATCTGCAGGGCTTCTGACTCAGACTGCTGTAAAACGCCTCAAAACTTCATACCAGACAGTGGGTTGAGAGATGAGAAATACCCATTTTGACTATAAATTCCGGGAACAGCAACATATTTTTAGCAACATATTCCTGAAGGAAACAGCATCCTATGTTTCTGTGCTCGTGATTCCCAACAACTTCAGCGTCCCCCGAAGACATCAAGGCCTGCTTCCTCAGCACTATTTTT